GATTCGGGAAATATTGGGTATGTTTTACGTTCGAATCCCTAGCGCCGCATAATGGAGTGAGCTCCCGTTACTTGTCTCAGCTTCTGCCAACCAAGAAGTTTGAAAGCACATAAAAAATGCAAGTAGAAAAATAGGAACCACCTTTGGTGGGAACAGCATTCCATGCTCCTTCGGTATTTAATCATGCCGGCCACATTACCACGGAGACATCTTCGGACAGCGCTGGCTCTGCGGCTTTGAAACGGAGATGAGCACCGCCTCCTAGAGTCAGGAATGACTAGCATATATGTGCGAGGGGAACCTTTACCTTCTATCTTTAGGCCTGTATTCTGAAAAAACTGGTGGAGGAAAGGAAGCTTCAGATTAAGGCTTGGCTTTGTAAGGCTAGCAAGCCTTTGGCCTCTTGTCCAGGAGCTGTGATTCTTTTTGCTGTCTATCTGTTGGGCACAAAAAATAAGGGCCTCAGGTTATTCAAATGAGTACACGTTTATTCCATGCTAGTTCTCTACAAGAATCTGAACTACTGACAATCAAGTCAAATTGGTGGTAGATAAGAGTCAAAGGAATTCAAGGAGGGCTGGACTTAGATCTTTTGTGAGCATCAAGGGACTCCAAACTAAGGACATGCTTGACTCCTTCCTCGGGTTCAATCTGGCCATCTCCTGAACTTATCTTTGACATCTGGTTGACTAAGTGTTTGGGGTATGGGAGGGTGCGTAAAAGATTAGGAAGTAAAATTGGTCAGAATCCCAGATTTGAATGCATTAGCAAGCCTTAGGCAACGGAATCAACCTACGCCGTGATAAAAAAAATCATGCAATCATCAGTCTGTGACTTGGGAATATAACTTGTTTTCCATGTTTGGCATCTTTTCTTTAGCCTACTTGGGATTCTTATGGATGTTGCTCTTGGTTGCCTACGGACAGCGTGACCCAAACTCCTACTATCTTAACACGCATATTGAGAACAGTTTCACAGAAGGATTTGAAGAGGTTTTAAGTTATCAGGACTTCTTCAAGTGGGGAAGATCCGTCTTAATCAGCAACTTATATGGGCCGTATGAAGGTATGGTGATATAAGGGGCCTTTGGCAGCTATCTCAAACCAAACTGAATGCAGTATCATTCTCACAATATATCTTCTTCACAAAGTTCTTCGTGAAGAAGATATATTGAGAAAGAATGTTACAAAACATATAATAACTGAATTATTTGTTCATTTATATGCCACCTTTATTATTTTTTTACAAAAAAAACTCAAGGGAGCAAACATAACCATACTTTCCTCCTCCTATTTTCTCCACTTCAATAACCCTGTGAAATGAATTGGGCTGAGAGTGATTGAGCCAAAGTCTCCCAGCCAGCTTTTATACCTAAGGCAGGACTAGAACTCACCGTCACCCAGTTTCTAGCCTGGTGCCTTAACCACTGCACCAACCTTTTTATCCTCATGTACCTTTAAATGGATTTTCTCTCTAACTGCCATCATAATATTCAGCAAGGAGGCAGGACTCTTCAGTAGTAAAAGTGTCTTGAGTTCTTTTGCAGATACTTTTTGTTGGTAGGGTAACTCAATGTTTATGCTATAGGTCACGAAACTTTTGGGGTGCTGGGCATTATCATTCAGTAATGGGGGAAGGAAGGAAAGAAGGAAGGAAGGAAGGAAGGAAGGANGGAAGGAAGGAAGGAAGGAAGGAAGGAAGGAAGGAAGGAAGGAGCCAAAATATATTTTAATGGTCAAAATGTAGTTTAAACTCTAATAATTTAGTTCCATTAATAGTTGTTTCTTTAAATATCTGTGGCTGAATTGGAAGTCAGCAGCCTTGTACCCCTAAATCCTGGGATATCTAGAATAGTTTCTACAAGCAGTCATACAACCTAAGCCTTGTGAGATCATCAGACAGACCTCAGAAGATTTTGGGGTTTCATTCCCAAGGGCTTCAATGATCTTATTCAAGGACACCCACATCTTCTGAAATTCGCTGAGTTTGCAAGATTTTAGAAAAACACACAGACGGATACATGGATATAGATGTGTGTTCCTACCAGTTTGGAATGCTTTGGCTGAATCGGTAGTGGTTTTCTGGCCTGGGTTGCAGGAACCGGCAGCAACCCATGCCTGCCACACCTCCAAACCGGTTGTCGGATTGGGCCAGCATGGTTCTCCCCCCCCCTTTTTTTTAAAGGTTCTGCGGATGCACCGATCTATTTTTGGGCAACTGGCATGTACAGGAAGCAAAATTGTGTGCACACTAAACTGGCAGTAATGATGGCAGCAGCCCACCCCTGGAAGGATACATAGACACACACCATATTATCTCCACATACAACGTGAGGAATCATAACCCATGTTTACAGTCCTTGGTTTTAAGCTAGAGCAACCGAGCAGAGAGAAAATTACTTTGAAGCTCTGCAAATGCCCATGGGCTGAATGGTCTATTCAAACCCTCCTTCCTTCTCAAATCCTCCGCAGGTTTCATCACAGATGGCAACTCCAAACTGGTGGGGAGTGCTCGGATCCGGCAAGTGAGGGTCAAGGGCAACTCCTGCCTCATTGATCCGAGCTTAGATCGCACGGTCAGAGAGTGTCACGCCGCCTATTCCTTTGACACTGAGGACATGGAAGATTATGGCATCAACTGGAACGGCTCTTCCTCGGACAACTCTTCAGAGTTCCAGTCGGCTTGGCAATACCAGAGCCAGGCAAGGCTGAGAGGACACCCCATCTGGGGCAAGCTGGCTGTTTACAGAGGTGGAGGCTACATTGTTCACCTGGGGATGGATTCCGCCAATGCCTCCAGGTAACCACTTGCGGTGATGTGAGTCTAGGTTGGCTCTGTGGTTCTTAGGGCAAAGCAGCGATCTGGATTTGAAGGGAAAAGGATGAATTGGCAGTGAATGTAAATGTATGGGTCTTTCCTGCTGTCTCTTTGTTAAGTGGAGCAGATAGAATAGAATAACAGAGTTGGAAGGCACCTTGGAGGTCTTCTAGTCCA